AATCAGGATCTACATAATAAGATCTTACACCAAAACAGTTCGGGACTTCTCACCTTGCTTTAGACCAAGAATGTGCTTGTAAAACAGTTTCAGAAGTAGCATTTAAAAATACGTTACGAACAGTTCAATATGTGAAAGCCCACAGGAGCTGAGTTTTATGAACAGTGTGAAGGAAATCTGTGTCCCACCACACACTGAAAACACATTTAGCTTCAGTGGAACTACATAGTATGAGGACAAGAGGAACTGGCTTGTTTTCCCGACAGCTCAGACATGTTTTCGGGCTAATTCAGTCACATCAGTTTTTGTTAGGTGCCGTAGTAAAGTTTTTAAAAACAAAGCTTTTATCTAGGAAAGCTGTCCAAAAGGAGAAAATGCCACAGTAAGTAAGGCAACTAATCTGTTGATCCTTTTAAGAGTATTATATTCCTTTGTGGGACTGATGTGCTTTGGGACTAGGGACAACATTTGCTTTAGTTTAGCATGTTGCCTATCTTAAGAAATTATATCAGGGTTATCTTTTAAATGACTTAACACAAAAGAAACATGTTGAATGTACTAATCCTCAAAGAAGTATCAATAATAAAATTTTGCAATCCTCAACTGAACTGGTGATCCTTTGTCTATTTGCTATCTCTATGGACTCACCCTTGGATTAGTTTCCATTTGATCATGGAGCCTGGGAATTTCATTTGGCTGCACAGTTAGTAATGGGACTAAAAGTTGTCCTAAGTGTGGAACTTTGGTTCTTCCTAATTCCATCTTTGCTTCCCTTGAGCTGGCATCTATCTCTTGTGACTGTGAATGTAGGCATAATGGAAACCAGGCTGAATTTAAGTTTTTCAGTTTCAGATTGTAGAAGCATATAGTTAACTCTAGATATCTTGTACCAACACTATTTTTTAAGTATATTTTGTGGCTTTCACTAAGGAGCTTTAATATTTCTGTCATTTTCATCTAGGATAGAAAATGTGGATTAGTAACCCTCTGTGCCTACTATATCTAGTATTTCTTTTTTATCTAGTCCAAAAAGAATTGCTTCTGAAATAGTTCCATGATTTACATTAGTAACTGAATAATTTATTTTCCTTATAATCTTGTAAATTGACATTTTTCTTACTTCACTTCAAGAATAAAAACTTGAAACTGGCAAAAGCAGCTTAGAAACGACAGGTTGGTTGCGTCCGATCCAAATGTAGAGTGCTGTTTTCCTTCAGTTTTGGCAGAAAGCCTCAGGACGGTGAGTAACCAAGGGAGTAGGGCCAAAGTTTGGGGTTTTGCAGGCTGTAGGTCTGCTTCAGTGACTGCTACACCACAGCCATGAGAAAGCATCGGTGCAAAGTTTGTAAACAAGTGAGTATGCTGTGTTCTAATAAAACTTGAGTTCTCACTCATTGGAGTGTTTGGTTTTTCTTCCCCTCTAGCACCTGAAATGTAAAATAGCATGCTAATTCTTAAGGTCTGTAAATTCTCCTGACTTGACCTCCCCCTAGCAGTGTTGGCTTACATTTTACTCGTTCTAAAACTACATGTGTTATACCCACTGCAACCTACTCTCTCCCCGCCCTTTTTCTTCCTCCAAAAATGTTACTGTCCCTCAGGTAAGGATTAGAGAACAGATCTGTGATGTAAGTTGCCTTCTTCCTTTAATGGTGAAGTTACATATTAACTGAACATTATCAAACCCAGTGGTTTTCATGTAGGAAGTTAAGGAATGTCTTCACATTCACAATTTCTCAAATCACTTTTTATAATTTATTTTGAGGGGAAGAAAATTGATGGATCTCTCATCCACTTGTTCCTTCTGAGTACTCCCAACTGGGTCTTGTGTGAGTAGCTCGCACCATGTACTTGAGCCATTACGTGCTGCCTCCCAGGGTGCACGTTAAAAGGAAGGTGAACTTGTCGTCTCAGCCAGGTCTTGCACACAGGCATTCCAAACGGATGCAGGCATCCCAAGCAATGTCTTAATTTATAAGATACTGGATCCATATGTTCATTTTTAAAAAGTAACCTTTGTTTACAAAGTGAAGTACAACCTTTGCTCATTAAGCCTTCTAAATATGTGCATTACACACGTGATGGCTGTGCATGGCTCTCTTAAAATCAGCATTGTTGCTTGGCAGCACCTCTGGTAACTTCGTAGATCTGTTCCATTTGTCATAATTCAATTCTAAATTGATACTAGTTTCTTAAATTGTGCAGCACACATCTTGCCATCATCATTTTGGTTGTACAGTTTGTCCAAGTGTTTCTGTTGATTATATTGCTGGAAGTAGGACTGTTGATTATACATGCTTTTTTTTTTTTTAGAATGACTTTATTTGAAAAGCAAAGATATCCATTTACTGAACCACTCTCCTAAGCTGGGGCTGGGCCAGTATGAAATTAATAGCCAGAACAATCTGCACTTGGGCTGGCAGGTGCTGAAGGCCTCGAGCCATTTGCTGCTGCTCCTGCAGATGCTCTAACAGGGAGCTAGGTGAGTGGATCAACAAGTGTTGCTGGCAGTGACCTAACCCACTGTGCAGCACTGGTCCCTGTACATGTGCATAGATGCTGCAGGTCAGTTTCTGCAACCAGGTTTTACCTGAATATAATTTTTAGTGAGTTTAGTGGCTAGGCTATAACTTGACTGCATTCCCTCTGCTGCTCTTGATACAGCTGGCTACTTCCTATAAAGGTTGAATTCCAGTTACTTGGTCAAAAGTCATTTTAAAAGCTGTTCCATGTTGATATCCCAGTACGTCTGGCTAAAATAGCTGTACCAATCAGTTGAATAAGTTTGATTAGAAACAGACTTCCCACACCATCATTAATGTCTGATCCTTCTGAGAAGTAACAACAGTAAGATTGGAGTGGCTTGTCTGGTGTCTGAATTCACAGAATTAAAATATTGGATTTCTGAAGCCATACAAAAGTGAACTCAAAATCAAAAAAAGATACGGAACCATAAGTGTTTGCTGTAATGTCTTAAGCCTTAGAGCTTGCTTATCTGATTGCTAGAATTAAGCCAGTTGTACTAGCCAGAGCTAGGGCCCAAGCTGCTTTTGAAGCTGCATTTTAAGTCTCGAGTATATGTATTTAGTGGTGATCCTTTTTAGAAAGTTTGAGGGCCAGCATGGTGACAGTGCAGGCTAGTAGTCTTCTACCCTTTGGTATTCCGGCTTCTGTTCATGTCCTGGTTCCTCCACTCTGATCCAGCTTTGTATGCTTACAGCTTGGGAAAGCAACAGCAAATGGCCCAAGTCCTTGGGACCCTGTGCCCATCCGGGACACAAGAGGTTCCTGGCTGCCAGCTTCAGATCAGCTCAGCCTTTGCAGCCATTTGGGTAACAAAACAGCAGGTGAGGGAGTGGACGATCTCAGTAAAAGCTGCCTTTCAAAAAAAATTGAAGCGCAGAGCAGTCAGAGATCTTCGATTAGTTGATTCCCCAAATGCCTGTGCAGGTGAAAGCCAGGAGCCTAGTTACCCACTCAGGTCTGATGTGGGTGGCAGGAACACAGGAACTTGAGACAGCACCTACTGCTGTTCTCCAGTTGGAAAGGCGGATATAGAGAGGAAGATCCTCTGTCCGATGATTCACTCCCCAGGCGTCCGCAACGCTGGAGCTGAGCCAATCCGAAGCCAGGAGCCTCTTCCGGGTCTCCCACGCGGGTGCAGGGTCCCAAAGCCTTGGGCCGTCCTCGACTGCTTTCCCGGGCCACAGGCAGGGAGCTGGAAGGGAAGCGGGGCTGCCAGGATTAGAACCGGCGCCCATATGGGATCCCAGGCGTGCAAGGCGAGGACCTTAACCACTGCGCCACCGCACCGGGCCCAAGGCAATAGGTTAACAGGTATGAAAAGTCTTAGCTACTGGTAGATAGAGTTGGAACATAGAAAAGTTGGCTAGGAACTTATTTTGGAATAAGTAGAATCATTGTAGCTATAACATTTATTTAAAAACGTAATCGTTAATTAGCAAGTGTTTGACTTGCCCTATAAAATGCTTAGAGATCTGTTCAATGTTTTTAGATGGTATTAGAAATTGTCATGTTTTCCCTCCAATCCCAGTAAAAGATCATCTGAATTTTGCAACTTTTGGGTCATTCCCCAAATGGTTGGTCCAAAACTGGGAGCTGGGATGTCTCTCTGGTCTCCCATGTATGTGCAGAGCTCAACCAAGACTTTGTGCCATTTTCTGCTGCCCAGAGCCTTTGGGACATGAACCAGCACTCCAGGTGGAGGACCAGCCTGCTCTGCCATTACACCAGCCCCTGAATTTGGCTGTACTTGCTGTATTTTGAAAAATGATTTGTGCCTAGCCACTTACCCTTTAAAATAAAGCATCTGAAGGATTCTAGAGTTGAATTTTTTAAGGAAAGTCAGATTTTCCCTGGAAATCAGGTTTACAGAGAGGAGAGACAGAGAAGGGTCTTCCATCTATTGGTTCACTCTCCAAGCAGCTGTAATGGCCAGAGTGAGGTGATCCAAAGCCAGGACCCAGGAGCTTCTTCCAGATTTCCCACGCAAACACAGGGTTCCAAGGCTTTGGGCCATCCTCTGCTGCCCTCCCAGGCCACAAGCAGAGAGCTGGATGGGATGTGGAGCAGCCACACAAACTGGCACCCATACGGGATCCCGGAGGATGCAAGGTAAGGACCTGGGGTACCAGGCTATAGTGCCAGGCCCTAGAGTTCTTTATCATAAAATAATGCAGCAGGGATAAAAATAGCAATAGTTAAGGTAACCACAGCAATTTAAGACTGGTGCAAAGATGGATGTGATTGGGAATAGTGACACCACTTAGTGGCAGACAGCTCAGCTTAACCCAGTTTCTAGAAAAGTTCCTGTGTGAAGCAGAAATGTACTTTTCAGTGAGATGTGTATCACCCTGCGCCTGCTGTAACTAATGCAGTGTAATCTGTGGCTGAGGACGCAATGGCAGGTCTGAGCTCCCCCTGGATACTCACTGGATTTTCCCATTTCAGAAGGCTGAGTATAAAAAAGACAAAGCAAAGATCATCTCCGTTTTTATTGAGGTTTCCAAATATATATATATATAAAAAAGATTCTTACACCAATTATCTCAAATGAGACCATGCAAAGCAATTCAGTGTGTACAACAATCATTTCTCCCCTTCGGTTTTGCTTTATACAATAGCACGAGACAAAATTGGGTGGCAGGTACCTGGTTGGAAAATGTCATGTTTACAAAAAAGACATGCAGGACAGTTTATACTTTGTGTGCAAGTCACTTTACACTGCATACTTCTGTGTTGTATTTAGGAGGCACATGGAACTAAAATTCTTAGCTGCCCGATTTTATTCAACTATCCCACAGATAAGCACAGAGACGGTCCCAGCACTGCAAGCTATGCAGGGCTGCGATAGTAGACACTATTGTTATTCTTAGTAGATTCAACTTATAGTCTGAAAATGTTGGCTGTTTCTCCTAACAGAAATAAATCTCCTTCGGGCCTTTCCTCTGATTTTGCTGGACTGCATTCCACAAAAGTTGGGTGGGAACCCCTCCTGGGAAATTTGGAGTGTGGAAGCATGTTAGAATTCTGTTAATTTCTTGTTAATTGCATAGACTACAGACAGTTGATTTGCTAAATGGCACTGAAGAAAATCCTGACCCAAGTGGTACTGTTAGTCCATAGGTTTCTGACTGAAGAAAATTATACAACAATATTTATAGGCTAACGTTAAAGAGATGGTTGGCATTAACACTGTACATATTTTACATGTCAAATACATAGTTGAGTTTATAAAATAAGCTCATGCATTATTACCTCTAAGAATATCATGTACAAGATAACCCCCCAGTATTTGTGACAGCATTTCATGTGGAAGCAGTTTTATATACAAAAGTAATCCAGTTTCTTTGCTGTGGTAAGTATATAACTTAAAATTTCAGCGATCACTCAGAAAAAAAATATTAGCCCACTGAAGATTGATAGAAAGTCAATTTGTGAGATTTTAAATTAAAAAAAAAAAAACACCCAGAATACATAACTCTGTACAAAGAAAAATATAAAAATCCTGGATGATCATGTTTGATCACACTACATAATTTAGGATGAAGTGTATTACTGGTTACAAGTTTTTTTTAACAGCGTTAATTTGGGAACTAATGTTTATACTTTGCTGCATTTATGGCACAAGATCTCATTTTGTGATGGCACCAATTTAAGTGTAGGAAGGTTATTTCTAGCAGCAGTTACATTTTAAAAGGTCACCAACTGGTAGAGCAAATATTTCAACTATCCTATACTCACCAGTTACTATATTTACAAAAGGCTAAAGTCTACAGAGAAGTGATCTTTCTCCCCAGGCTTTTCCTCTCCCTTTGATTTCTGAGTTGGTGGGGGAAGTGCGGGCGTCTCGGAGGACAAGGTACTCAGGTGTTCTAGATGGCCTGTTTTAACTGAACTCTGCCAGGTTCCAGTGCCACAAGTTAGCTGTACGTGAAACAGTACCCTTTGACAACCTAGAAAAGATGAGCTCTCCTGGGGTGCCTCAGCAGTCATGGTGTGTAAGAGCAGAATAGCAGGAAGGCCATTTTCTTGTGCAAGAGGAGCCTGCTATCCCTCTAGTAACCATGAAGAATTAACTGAAGGGGTGTTGTGAAACTTAAACCATGTTTAATAGCAATTTGCATTCAGGGAAATGGTAGTTTTGAGTTATTCTGTTCAAAGACTGGAAAGGGAAATGGCAACTGAGCATGCTAAGGAGTCCAATCAATAGTTTCTGTGATGCTCTAATCACACATGCTCTGAGTGCGGAAAGTGATGCTTCATGGGGAACTGCCCTTGGGTGAGATGGGGGGACAGATGAGCTGGCAAGCCCCCGCCCGAGATAAGCCAATTATCAAAAGTTAGCAGGCCAAACACATAGCCCGTTTATGAATTAGAAGTTTGGAGTTCATAAAACAAGTTTTAGGATGAATGGATTTCTTTAATATTAAAAAAAATTGTTTTGAATATGTTAGTGATATGAATAAGAAAAAAATGCAGAAAGCAGGTAATACACCTAATCATTTGAAATGATAAACCAGTTATGTGTCAAATGGACAAAAAAAACTTAAGGTAACGTGGGGGTGGGGCATAATTAAGGCATCTAAACAAATTCCCGCATGGCTTTGGCTTATTAAAATATTTTACACTATCTCTTTAAAAAAAATATCTTAAGCATCTGAAAAACATGCAAATTGTTTGAAAACCCTGTATGGCAAATTCAGACAGTTTGCAAGCGTCATTCAGATGTTTGCCAAGGAAAAAACAAAACTTCTCCCCATAAGACTGCACATGGCGGGAGAGGTCTGCCCAGCTTTCTTTATCTTAGACCAGAGGGAACCCCGGGGGTCTGTGCAGCATTTACAAACAAGGTGTTACTATCTGGAAGAGAAGGGACTGTGGAATTTCCATTGGACGGAGAACAGCCCAGCTTGAGTTTTTCCAGATATTCTGCATGAACTGGTTTATGACACTGGAGAACTTTGATTGCATCTTCCACTTTGAACCACTCTCTTTTTCTTCCTAGAGAACAATATGACATTGGTTATTATACAATTTGAAACCAGCTAAAAATGTTTACTTTCATCTACTTAGAACATAAAGCAAGAAAGAGCCAAGTCTTCCATCTACATCTAATATTTTACTCCCCAGATGTCCACAGCCAGAAGCTCTGAAGTCCATCCGGTCTCCATTTGAACAGCCTTCTAGGATGCACTGGCAGGAAGCCAGATGGAAGTGATGTGGGGACTCAAACTGAAATCCCATTATAAGATGCAGTGTCCTAGGTTACTACACAATTCCTACCATGAAGTAAGTAAGTTGTAACTTATCAATAATGTTCCCCACACTTGATGGCTTTCAAGAAGAAATGGCTTAGGAAATAGGCTTCAGAATTCTCCCCTTCTCTGCTTAGCATTTAAATATCTGGAAAATTTAAGATGGATATGCACATATGTAGTATATGAATTCATAGAATTCAGGTACCTAAAGGAATAAGAACTTACCTATATTAACAGAATCTTCCCAGTCTTCTAGTATTTCAGTGACTGTAAGAACATACACATATGTTCTGTGCTTCCGGTCTTGGTTCTGCTTGAATATAAAAAGCAAGCATGTCAATCTACAGGAGCTAGCCATGTCTTGAGCTCACACTCACAGCATGCTCAGTGTATTGTCCAGCAGCAGTGAGTTTACACAAAGACAGAAGCCTTGGAGCTTTACCGCCATTGCTGGTGAAATCTACAGAGCAATGCTCTTAGAGTCTGTCAATGTGCCCATAAGGCATGACCCTACTGATCCAGTTACATCTCTCAGTAAATGACTTTTGACAGACATGAGTCAACTTGGCTTCGTGTGAAGTTTAAAATGCTAATATTTAGCAGTTCCCAGGTGAAGCTCCACAGAGCCAAATCTGATACTATCCAGCTTAGGGTTGTTTTTGGAATATTCTATGTCTTACATATTTTATTATCCATATTGAAACTAGTACCTAGCTTTGTTTAGGTTAAAAACAAAACATGTGCTGGCCTTAAGATGAAGCCCCCTACCCTACTGCCAAAAAAATATTTCTAGGTTTGGCAAAACAATATATTCCACTACAATCACAAGTTCATTAAGATCACCATGATAAGGCCTGACACAGTGGCCTTGAATGAGCCAGAATCCCATATGGGCGCCGGTTCTAGTCCTGGCAGCTCCATTTCCCATCTGGCTCCCTGCCTGTGGCCTGGGAAAGCAGTCAAGGACGGCCCAAAGCCTTGGGACCTGCACCCACATGGGAGACTTGGAGGAACTTCCTGGCTCCTGGCTTTGGATTGGCACAGCACCAGCCGTTGCGGTCACTTGGGGAGTGAATCATTGGACGGAAGATCTTCCTCTCTGACTGTCTTCCTCTCTCTATATCTGACTTTACTATAATAACATAAATCTTTAAAAAAGAACATGGCAAGATTTCCTTGAGAGGGAGAGGCAGAAAGACAGATCTTCCATTCTCTGGTTCACTCCTCAAATGGCCAAAAGTGCCAGGCTGAACCTAGAAACTTTATCTGGGTCTCCTGCATGAGTATTATATCCAAGTATTTGGGCCGGCTTCTGCTGCTTTGCCAGGCCATTAGCTGGGAGCATCAGACTTGAACTGGGACACGAGATGCCGGCATTACAGCTATGCCATAGACCTGGCCCCTGCATACAGCATTTGTAAAGCTCTTAGTACTGTTAGTTTCCAGTATGACCAGGAGATGGTGCTGTATAACTAGACAAGGCGAGCAGGGAATTCCTGAACAATCTGAAGTTTATACTAATTACTATATTTGGTGAGAATCATCAGTTCTACCTATTGCTGTATGATTGGTGTTGAGGATTAAAGTTTCTAAGGTTAAGCCAGAGATGGAGCTAACCCTTCAATTTTTATCTTGACAAAAGGAAATTCGCTATTTCTCTATTATGCTATTTATTTGGTAGTAAATCTCTGAGAGTGAGTTCTCCCTACCTGAAATTGAGCACCTATTATTTTCAGATTTCATCCCTAGAAATACCATTCTGCCCCCAACAATACCCAATCCATAGTCCTAATGCTCTACCTTTGTGCCAGCATCCCAGATGGGTGCCAGTTTATGTCCTGGCCACTGCACTTACCCAGCTCTCTGCTAATGGCCTGGGAAAACGGTGAAGGATCCCACTCAATGTGCAGCTGTCTCTCCACTCTTTTTTCCAGGCCATAAGTAGGGAGCTGGAAGGGAAGTGGAGCAGCCAGGACATGAACCAGCTGCCATGCAGGACGCCAGGGCTTGAGGGTGGATGACTAGGCAGATGAGCCACCATGCCAACCCCCAAAAATCTTTAAAAAATATTATATATATATATATATATATATATATATACAGATACTATCTAATGTTACATGCAGAAGCCAGTGGATTCATAGAGAATCCGACAGACCTAAGCCCCAAGTGACGGATGGTTCACCTCCTAGTTTATAGTACAGTATACCAAGAAATGACTGCTTCAGTTCCAGTGTGTTGTCAAAATTACTACCATATTCCCCATAACTGAAGCTCTATCAGTAAGTCATGTGGCTTTCTACTACCTTCTTCCCGATCATGACTAACCTGCTCCTAACAGATTATCTGGCTGGGTAGGAAGAAATTTTGTTATAAGTAAAATGAAGATTACTTTTGTAACTCACCTCAAATACACCCAGGAGTCTGCCCAATTTTCCTTTGACTCCAGCCTATTAAAAAAATGATGAAATATAAAATATCCACATTTTTGTAACACAATTTACATCTGAATGTCATTTCAATTTTTGAATCTAAATACAGCACAGGCCTTCTCATACCAAGCCATTTTTCCACTGTGTGTCAAAATTTTATCATCTGTGATTTTCCATAAAACACCTCACATATCACACGCAACTTCCTATTGATTGGACTTACTATCATTTTTGCCCCCTGGGTGGCACATAATAGCTTCAGTACCTGGGTCCCTGCCTCTCACACTCAAGACCCAGACTGACACAAACTGCATGTATGAAAACAAGACTTTCCTATGAAAGTACATTCTCTACTTTAAAAAGAAAAACTTATGTGAGGACCTGGCATGGTGGCCTAGCTAGTTCTTGTCTTGCAAGCACTGGGATCCCATATGGGGGTGCCAGTTCTAATCCCGGCAGCACCCCTCTTTCCATCCAGTTCCCTGCTTGTAGCCTGGGGAAGCAATCGAGGATGGCTCTAAGCCTTAGGACGCTGCACCTGTGCTGGAGACCCAGAAGAGACTCCTGGCTCATGGCTTTGCAACAGTGATGCTGTTCCGGCCACTTGGGGAGTGAATCATCAGATGGAAGATCTTTCTCTCTCTCTCTTTGTATCCTCTCTATATATCTTTCCAATAAAAATCTTTTAATTTTTAACTTTGAGATAGACACAGATAGGACAGCTTGCTCTTAACCCACTGATGGACTCCCCACATGCCCAGCAGGCCGTGAGAGGTTGAGATGAAGTGAGGAACCAGGAAGTTAATCGCCAGTGGGTGGCAGAAGCCCATTGCCACTGCCTCCTGGAATCTAAATTAGTAGGAAGCTGGAGTTATCAGGCAGAGGCATGAAAATTCTCAGGGTTAGTACAGTGGTGGAGAGGTTTAAGCCACCACCTTCAATGCAAGCATCCCAAAGGGGCACCCAGCTGCTGCACTTCTGCTCCAGCTCCCTGCAGCACTAAGTACTTGGGCCCTGCACCCAAATGAGGTGCCAGGATGAAGCTCCTAACTTCCCTCTGGCCACTGTGGCCAGCTGGGGAGCAAGCTAGCAGGTGGATGCTCTTCCCACCTTTCCTTCCAACTCTAACCTTCAAATACATAAACATAACAACAAAGAGCCCAGATACTCAGATATGGCTTATAGTCATCTCAACTGGTAACTGTACAGGCCTCTGTATTGTAACTATATTGTGCCTCTCCCCACTTAGAAACCCAGCTTTCTCTATGGCTCAGGGCAGAGACTCCTTCCACTGCAGTCTTCATTAGTCAGGCCTAATTAAAAGAACCGCCACTTCAGTGTGTCCTCCAAGTCTATCACATACCAACAAACCAGGGCATGCTCTTTCCTCTAGCTTCCCCCAGGAAGCTGCTCACCCTGCAAGATCCAGCTTTACGAAAATGTTCCTTTTTGGGCCCTCAAAGCCTATGAGAAAACTGTAGCATTTACTTCCTATTTACACGAAAACTATGGTTCAATAACTCTGGCAGTTACTTTATGCTTTGTTTAGCATGAATGCTAAGAGCAAGTTCTGCTATCAACCATGTGAAAGCCAGCAGGATGTGTTTCCCTACATTAGAATGTATCAGCTTACTGAGCTTTAAGACAGGTAAAATCAAAGCTGCTTGCTTACTCACTGTGCATTCTTGTTTAGTGCAATCTTATTTTGCCATGAGATAAGGTCATCATATCTAATTAACAGGAAGTTACATGTTATTACAATTCTGGGGATCTTCCATATGAACTTTAGCTCCATTTTACCAAGAATAAAACCCATTTAGCAAAGTGCTAACTATAATCACATGCTTAGAGTCTCCACTAGATAACACAGAATTCCTATGACCTGCCAGTCTTCATAACAAATGCCTTATAAGTGAGCCTCAGTCAACTGTTGTAGGACCCCAAGCAAAATTTCTGGGACAGAAGCAACCACTTACCTCCTCATAGACCTCCCTCACGGCGGCGCCGCCAGGCTCCTCCTCCGGCTCCATCCCTCCTCCCGGCACAATCCACTGGTCCGGGTAACGACTGCTGCTCACCAACAGCACCTGCAAGGTGGATCCGTTCCGTCAACTGCAGACCTCCAGTCTGGGGAACAGCATTCCCAACCTGCCCAAGTGCTCATTCTAGATTATCCCAGTGTATTAGGGGTACATGTGATACCACACAAAAAAGCAGTTGACAACCTTCTATTATAGTCTTTTGGGAATGAGAATTCAACACTGGGGCTGGAATCATAGTGGAGCAGGTTAAGCAATTTGCAAGCAGTGTCAACATCACACGCAGGCTCCTGTTCCAGTCCTGCTTGCTTCGCTTCCAATCCATCTCCCTGCTAATGGCTTGGGAAAGCGGTGGAAAATAGCTCCAAATGTTTAGGGCCCTGTACCCATGGTCTCCTGGCTTTAGTCTGGCCTAGACCTGCCCAGTGCTGCCTTTTAGGGTGTGAAGCAACAGGTGTTAGTCCGTAACTACCTTTCAAAGAACTGTTAAAACATTCAACATCACTGCAGTCACTTTACTGAATCATGCCGTACCTAAAGTAGTCATTTAACTATCAGGTTCAATTAGCAAAATTCCCATTCTTCCATTTATCAACAAAGGATAAAGGCAGACTGCAAAAACTGGGGGTCTGGGCCAGGATCCCACATGGGTGCTTGGGACAGTCTTGCTTTACCGCAGGCACCAAGACTAGTGATTACAAATAAGCTTACAGCCGTAGGCAGGACACCTTGCTCCGGTACCTGCAAAGTTTAAGAAAACCTTAAACTTTGTAAGGTAATGAATGTAAAAACTAGGGAAATGATCAGAAAGCTGTTACTGAGGACAGAACACTTATTTTTATGCTTATACTCGGTAGAGCAAAGCTTGCTTCATGTTCCAAACCCATCTAAATTGAGCACAACTTGCTCCATCTTACCAACAGGCAGTTGTAATTTAAGATTCAGAGCAGAATTAGCAAAACTTCAGCCCCCCAGCCCCCCCCCGCAGGTTTTTGTTAAAGATTTATTTATTTTTATTGGAATGCCAGATATACAGAGAGGAGACAGAAAGGAAGATCTTCTGTCCAATGGTTTGCTCCCCAAGCGGCCACAATTGTGAGAGCTGAGCCAATCGAAGCCAGGAACCTCCTTCAGGTCTCCCATGTGGGTGCAGGGTCCCAAGGTTTTGGGCCGTCCTCGACTGCTTTTCCAGGCCACAAGCAGGGAGCTGGATGGGAAGTGGAGCTGCCGGGATTAGAATGGCACCCATATGGGATCCTGGCACATTCAAGGTGTGAACTTTTGTCGCTAGGCCCTCGTGCCTGGCTCAGCCCCCCCAGTTTTTGCTATTACAGTTAGGTAAAATTCAAATTGCAGTGTCCACGGCTCCTTTATGATTGAGACTCTCACACATTCTCTTACATTCTGTCCCCATGCCTGGCTGCAGCCGGGCCGCAGGAGCAGCAGTGAGCAGCTGCGACAGACCACAGGGCCCACAAGGCCTAGATGATGATTAAGACATAAAGAGTACAAATTCATTCACAATTTAAACAATAACAACAAGATCCCAACAACCAACTGTTGTCATCACAAATAATGTGCAGGCTAACTACTTACAGTACTCAACAGTAATTGTAAATCCATTTTATAAGTGAAAAATTGGGCTACACTGTTAAATTCATTTGTATTAAAGAAAAAGATTGATGTTTATGAAAGAATTCAATCTTGATAAAGCTGTCAGGAACTCACCCTTCCCAACTACAAAGTTTAGACTAACAGCAGTCCAGCAACTCCCTTTGTCAAGAGGCCAAGCTGGAAGATAAGGTGCTAACCTCTGCAGGTTACTGTTTTAGTAGAAAGGCACACCTTTGCCTATGGACACAGCCTATCTCAGCACTGACTAATGCCTGAGGGGTCAGCACTGTGTATTTAAAAAAAAAATTTTTTTATTGGAATGTCAGATATACAGAGAGGAGGAGAGTCAGAGAGGAAGATCTTCTGTCCTGTTTCACTTCCCAAGTGGCCACAACAGCTGGATTAGTGCTGACCGAAAGCTGGGAGCCACGAGCTCTTCCGGGTCTCCCACATGGGTGCAGGGTCCCAAGGCTTTGGGCCATCCTCGACTGCTTTCCCAGGCCATAGGCAGGGAGCTGGATGGGAAATGTGGTCATCGGGATTAGAACTGAAGCCCATATGGATTCTGGTGCGTGCAAGGCAAGGACTTTAACCACTTCGCTATTGCGCCAGGCCCCTGTTTCTCTCATTCTCGAAGTGGAGCAGAATTCATAGCCTCCATTAGTATCAATGGCAAATCCAGAGAAAGCCCTGGAAGCTAGCAACAGTTGACAAAGCCATAGCTGAAATAATAGAGGCTGCGTTGCAGGGTTTAAATGAGTGCAACCACAGCAATTTTAGTAAAGGTGGTCTCAAATGTGGCCTTTATTGGGAAATAGGGAAGAAGCAGGGTGGGGCTGGTGTTGTGGCACAGTGAGTACAGCTGCCTCCAGCATCCTGTATGGGTACTGGCTGGAGCCCTGCCTCCTCCACTTCTAATGCAGCTCCCTGTTAACATGTCTGGGAAAACAATGCAAGATGGCTCAAGTGCTTGGGCAAATTTTAGAGTGAACAAGCTGACTGAAAGATTCTCTCATTCAAATAAATGAGCATTACAAACACAAGAACGAGCGAGAAAAAAGAAACACTCCCTGAGTGACTTGTGCATGGAAAAAAAAAAAAAAAAAGAGCCGGGCAAGCAAATTTAACCAGTATCAGAAGACACTAATTTGAATTTGAAAGTATCTGTACCATAAACAAAATGTATTCCTGCTTTGATACATTACAGTAATGTCTAACAGGTTGCCTTTAAATGATGCTGGCCCAGGCAGGCAGGCACTCATTAGCTTTCTGCTCTGACCGACCAAAGCTGAATCAATTCACCAAGAATTAAGCCTGCTCCCAATTATGCTAGTTGTTACTTGCTTTATCATTACTGAGACTGAATGACGAAAATGGGGCAGCAAAGAATGTATGAGAAGACCACGGGGTCGTAGGCTGATTAAAAAGTGCTACCAAGCGAAGTATGAGCAAGACAACTCTAACCGATTGGAAACAGGAAATAAAACCAGAATGAACCAGAGAGTCTTTATGTAAGTTCTGTAAGTTCAAATTCTGTTTTAAATAAAATGAAAATGCAAACCAAATTTTAGAACTTAACGGAAGCTTTCTGATGATCCAACACAGGCAGCCGTCACCATGTGTAAGCAGCTATTGGTTCTCTCTGCAGTCAGTGGTTAGGGACAACCTGGGTTTGTAGGCCTGCAGCATGAAATTCTTACACAGTTCTCTCATTAAACAACTCCCTTGATTAGCTTCATAATGGGCCAGGTGGCTAACCACTGCAGGAGTGCATCCTCTTTTAGTAAACAGGGAGTTTCAAAACCATCCGAACTCAAAAAATATTTTGAGTTTCGAAAAAAATGAAATTCAAAGTGTCAATGTATCTAGGTCAATGACAATTATGATCCCATTTCTCCAAGACAGCTAAATTACATTAGGCTAATCATGTAAAAAAAAAAAAAAAGTATAATCTGTGCCTACTTTTCTGAATTGGCATTTCAGCTTCACACTTAAAACCAATGTCAATTTGTGACTAAACTTCTCTTCCACAGTAACATGAAGTTCCTGAGTGGCTTCAGTACTAATTTAAAACTACTTGAGACTCACAAAGACAAATCATGTAATATTTGCACAAATGAATTAGCCTAATCTTAGGTTTCATGCAATAGTCTATGGACTTTCCAAAAAGATCAAATTGGGTCAAATCATTAACTTCATCTTTCTGGGAAATTGATCAACTTCAATTTCTCCTTCCGTACTTGTCTACTCATTTGGTTTGTTTTCTTATCTGCCACTAACACCACCTGTCCTGAGCACTGCTCCTTGGGCTTCTCATGCCTTTTTTTATTCTATTTTGATGATCTTTACATTATTGTTCCTGTGCTTTTTGAGCCTCTGGCCCTGCACTATCAGATGCATCATATAGCTTCAAACACATCACTCCAAAATGACTAATTTATATGGTCTGGTACTAACTGATGTAGAACTACTAGCCCAAGAAAATGATTAGATTGTACAGATTTGAAAATCGGCGCATTTCATTAAGTACTTGCTTATTCACCTCAAGTACTTCCGCTCAGGAGTTTGAATGAGGTCAAGGTCACATCTGGCGAGGGGGGGGGGGAGGAGAGGGTGGGATCAAGAAACCCAAGAACTGAGGGACAGCACTCCACAGACCCAATAAGATAGGACTATGGCACAGGTTTGCCAGGGTGAAAAAAGTGCACCTGATGGGAGAACTAGGCAGTCCCGCAATGAGCAGGGTCCCATCAACACATGGGAAAAGACTTCAGGCACTCAAACCAAGCCCAGCACTAACCTTGCACAGAAGACAGAGTTGCTATCACTTTGATGGATGTCTGTGTCCCCTAGCATCCCACACCTCTGCTGTTTCAGAGGCGCACTGCACTATTGCAAATACATGATACTGGATGCTTACGCTTATTTGGTAACTTCAGTATTGTGACCACTTCTCTGCCCCCAAAATAGTTTTATTTGTTGAAAAAGCTCAGGATTCTAAATGAAGTGAAATGGTGAGTATAAGGGGCACTGTGGTGCCATGTTATAATTCCAAATCTATCAAGAAATCAAAAAGAATTCAGTCTTTTTTAAAAGTCACTTGGAATTTACTGAAGATAAAGATTCAATCCAGATTTTCCTGGAATATATATTTTAAGAGTAATTACTAAAGCAATTTATGTTTAAGAATATTTCTTGTCTTGTACCTTCCAGAAATACATGGGTGCCAGTTCGTGTCCTGGCTGCTCCACGTCCCATCCAGCCCCCTGCTTCTGGGAAAGCAGCTGAGGATGGCCCAAAGCCTTGGGACCCTGCACCTTCGTGGGAGACTGGGAAGAGGCTCCTGGCCCCTAGCTCTGGCCCTTCAGCCACATGGGGAGTGAACTAGCGGATGGAAGATCTTTTCCTTTGTATCTCCTTCTCCGTAAATCTGC